CACAAGTGTAAGTTGACAAACTCAATATTATGCGTGTTCAGGAGCTCTTATTGTTGGAGCTTTCAGTGCAATCACTGAGAATAAGTCCAATGAAGACAATGAAGGAAGTGTTGCTGTAAGCATGGCATACTTACTACACACCATCTGGGTTATATACTGTCTAATGTTAAGGAACATATTGTTTCTTAATAGCTTCTTTTGCTTAACGGCTAAAGTGTACCAGTTGTATTCGGACAGGCAGCAGGCTTTCAGTTACCCACGAATGCCACGAGCGTAATAATAATTAAGCATGAAATATCTACTTCAGCTTGAAGGATTAGGAGAGCTGAATATCTGTGCGAGACACGGTTGCGAGAGTGCCTGTAAATTAATGGATGAAATCAAGCAGATGAATGGGCTTCCCTTGAAGAATGGCGCTACAGGACAGAGATCCTGAGTAATGACGAAAGGTTCTCTCCTGTTGATTCCTCAGCGAAGTATGCAGTCTCAGTTTTATATGAAGCAGGTCTTCAAATTTAATCAGATCTTGACTTTAAATTATAATCGAGAATACATATGGTCAAAGGAATCGGTCCGAAATCGTCACTAAGCCTTTCTGCGAAAGAATAGGAAGGTTTATTGATATTTGAGAGGGTAAGTCCTTGACGTTTTTTGGTTCCATAGAGACAAGATCTATCTCGACCTTTTGCACCAGTGACAGGCGTGCACCGTTGAAAAGGTTATCAAACTCTGTCCAATCCCGCCGAGTCGACTGCTTAGCCTCTGGACAGCTAGGAGAACAGATTGTTATAGAGATGTTTTTGACGTAATTTTCATAATTCAATGTTTTCAACACCATCGTTGCATAGGAGATGTTAGTCCATCTGGAATAAGGCCACTCAATGCCTCGAAATGATAGAGATTTAAGGCTTGGGCATATTTTCAGATCTACAAGACCATGTAGTAGATGTGTTGGATCTGAAAGCAGACTTTAATTCGCCACATAATGGAATTGAGTAGAGTTAAATTCACCAGATCGATGTCTTCGTGACGGCAGCAGACGCAGATGCAGAGTCTGGACTGAAACACAACATAACTCAATGATCTGTTTAGCATATATACTTTGCCTCTCATCGTCGCGGATCTCCAAATCAAGTTCCTGGACGCGTGTAATTTCGGGGAGTTTGAGAACGTCCAGCAATGTAGCGAATACTTCGTAAACCTCATCACGTTTACCGACTTTGATAGTCAGTTTCGTCAGGGATGCCCTTGTCACTTCGTCTGCAATACTGTGTTGACATTGTTGGTCCTTTGTGTCAAATTTAGCATAGAACAGCTCTAATTCCGTTAGATTTGGGAAGCAGTGGAGGAGGCAGAGGGGCAAAGAAGGAGTTTCCATAAGCTGAAGAGAAAGCACAGAAGGAAAGCGAAGATCTTTTGCTACACCCAGACCGAACTCCTCTCCGTTAAGCATGTCCGACATATCAAGCCAGAGATCCTGTAAATTATCCAGCCGATTAAGAGTGTTAAACACTGCATCTTCCAATACGCGATGGAAGTCTACAAGCTCTTCTTTTCTCTTATGGGTCTTGATGGTAATACAAGTGTATTTAATGTGGGTGGCGAGTTGAGGATTAGACAGCAAGAGACGATCAAATGCAGCATACTCCACAGCTGGATCCATTACAGATTCCTGGTTGGTGAATGTAAAGTTGATGCCGTAGAAGTGATGCTGTACGCTGGTTTCATAAAAGCTACGACAGACCAACGTACAGGCGCTTATTGCTTTGTTGTCCCCGGAGAGACATTGGATAATAAGATCCAGAATTTCTGTTGGGAGGCGGAGTATAGGCGGCTGCTCATGATTATCCGCAAGTATCGGGAATGATATGTCTGGCATCGGGGGAAGGAGTTGCATATCAGTATGTCTGCGTCTGGGGAGGACGCTATGTGGATGAAAGTTGGGTACCCGGTAAAGTGTACTTCAATGAACAATGATGAAAATAACGTAATCGTTGGCGTTTGTGGCTCCGGTGATTGCCGTTGAGTCACTGTTCCAGTACTTAGGACTGAATCGGCAAGTAGGAACGCGACAGTCTGGTCTGGATATTAATACATGCACAGACGAGGGACGAGTTGCTTCCCTACATATGAAGGTCACGAAAATGCAATTAAACTAATGGTTAGTGATCATTAGACATGTCACTGTAATCGTTTTGTGTTATAAATGTGGTTCAGAAACATATCTTGTAGAAAGCCATCTCAAAATACCCACGGCATTCACAAGCCACCAAAACACGAGTTGCCTTGGGCGTCGAATGCATTGAAGTCGAGCGCTATGCTATGATGTTGGCCTTAACCTACTCGTAGTGTGGATTGATGCGATGGCCAAGGCCAATCAGTCGGAACTTCAGGGTTTATTTTGATGTGTTCTACGAGCATCAACCACTGGGGAAAAGCTGTTTCTGTGGACAAGGGAGTGTGCTTAGGGTGTTGGTATTCGTTGACCGAGAACTCTTGTATGGTCTTGAAACATGTTTAGAATGAGGGTTAGTAAGTGTTCTATTTGTGTCTGTGCGCCTAGGAGGGGATATAAAGCAATAAACCACGTCCCAAAACTCCAAAACTTGAGAAGAATAGCTTGGTTTAAGTATAGAATCGTATCCATAACACGCGTATCCTAATATTTCTAAAATAAATAAATAAATTGCAGATCATTCCTCGATACGCAGATATCATAAAACAATGTTCCTTGTTCTCATCTGAGCCAAGGAAGAAGTTGAACGCCGGGAATATGATGACCGTAGCATATTCGGCGATGTCAACACCCTAAATTGTGTCACACGGTTCATGAGGATTGCCGGCTAAGCTTGGGCATTTATAGGTTCTTTAGACATGGTTAACGAAAACAAGCTTTTTACAGGCGAGGGGATGAAGGCGTGCAGTCTCACAAATAACGCTATGATACACCACTGAAAATTTGAAACCGGCAACACTTAAGGGTCCCGCAATTCTGCGCTCCGAACTGCGTCAGACATAAACTTTACCAGCACCGCGTCCCACTGGATTCGCAACCAACCAAGGGCAGAATACTTCAGCCTTTTGCCAAAGAGATTTGTTGAATCTACTGTATGCCTGGCTTTGTTATCAAGGAAACGGTCGATTAATGGTGCAAAGGACATGGTTCAGGTTATGGGTAAAACCTTTCGAGGCTAGTGGCCTCTGCGATTCTGATTCGAGAGAGAGAAGCTTGAGGGAATTTCGGTCCAACTTCAAGCACGGCATACTGTTGTGCAAGATTTCGGTTCAAACACAGTTTGAGGTGGGGCAAGCAATCTTCTGTTGTAATTACATTCGTTTGGTTATAGTACTCACCAGTACGTATAACCCCACAGCACCTATGCAAGTAATCTAAAGCGAGCAGCACTAGCTTTGCGATTTGCTTTACTAATGGCATCGGCTCGCCCTTATTTTGATGCCTCTTGATAAGCTCAAGGAGGTGCTTGTCGAGCGCTTCCAATACCATGCAGACGTGAGTGCCATTGGGCCTTTGTGCCGGAAGTAGTAGGGGGACGAGATGACATGCCAGAGGCCAGGATGAGTGTATGCGAGCCAGTTCGAGGGGATGACGTGGGATGCGGAGGGGTCGGTGGTGGGTGAAAGGGGGCGTGGTAGAGGTGATGAGCCGCTGGAGGAGTTTCATCTCTTCTAGAGCGGTCTCAATGTAATGCGAAGCAGATTTAACGACTTTGAGCGCGACATGGCGAATTCATTCTAGGCGGAAGGTGGGTTTTGAGTGTGACAGTTGCTTGAGCGTTGATGCTCAAAGCGGCCACGTCTCCGTAAACTCCGATAGGTGATACGGTGAAATGGTACAAGTTGTAGACCGGCCTTGGACCAGCCCTTTGTCCACAAGCAAGATAAGATTAGAACGGATCTCACACAACCAACAACGCTTCGTCAGCAACCACCCATTCTGTTCGATTTCCGCCTCAATTGCGCCATCCTCGCCCACTTGTCAAATCGCTATGTTTACCTCAATGGCCTTGACTACCAACTTCCATATCCTCCTGCCTGCTCCCGCCAATCTCTAACCCCAAACTACTATGTGTGAGTCTTATCAGCTACCTTCCCCCTTCAACAGTAGACTAAACCCTAAGTTCTCTGGGCAGCACAAACAGAGACAGCTACATTTGCCGCAGGATGCTTCTGGGGTGTCGAGCACATCTTCCTCAAGCACTACAAGGACAAGGGTATCCTGAAAACATCTGTTGGCTATACGGGAGGCAAGGAAGGCGCAACGAACCCAGATTATAAGACTGTATGCTCGGGGTCGACGAACCACGCTGAGGCGTTGAAGATCGAGTTTGATCCAAGCGTTGTGAGCTACGAGGAGCTCGTTAGTGCGTTTGTAACTCGTCTTACGAAGAATATCGCTAATGGATATCGATCATATAGAATTTTTCTACCGTACACACGATCCAACGACTGTCAATCGTCAAGGAGGTGATGTTGGCACTCGTACGTTTTCTCTACTCACTTACCTCCTACCTCCCTCCTTCCACTCTAAACCTCTCTAAATACTTTTCTAGAATACCGCTCCGCGATCTTCACCCACTCACCAGCCCAAAAAGCCACCGCTCAAACTGTCACCGAACAGGTGCAAAAGGAACACTTCACGCCAAAGGGTCAGAAGATCGTAACAGAGATCTTGGACGCCGATACGTGGTGGGATGCCGAGGACTACCACCAGCTGTACCTATTCAATAACCCGGAGGGGTACCAGTGCCCAACGCATAAGCTGCATTGGTGATGATTCAAACGAGAGGGTGTTGATATCTGTGGATATGAGGATGTGTATTTCGTGTATCTGTACCACTACGTTGTATATCAAAATGGATTCGTTTTGTTCGCCGATGAGTGTAGCAGTTGACGTCCAATCGTGTCATAGCTAAGTGCAAAAAGTGTCAGCGCAGTATTTCTCCTTCGAATACTAGCAAAATTGGAAGAGGAAACCTCAACGACGCCAGCAGAATTTGAACCTGCGCCCTCAAAGAGGAACAGATGGAATTTGTAGATCGCAAACTTTTATGCATTCTAATCTGTCGCCGTAACCACTTGGCTATAGCGCCTTATCCTTATATTTTGTGAGCGCGTGGCTGCGGACTGGTTGACGAGCGCCTTTCTCATGTTATAGTCCAGTCACCCCAAGTTATAAACTTCTTTTAGCCGATTTCAAAGACATAGGTCAGAATTCTAATGAGCAGCATTTCCACCTTCGAAGTTGTTTCAGTGCTAATCTACCGAGAAAAACCATTCCATAGTGGTACCTCCACTTTTGGACGGGCTCGCCCAAAAGTATTTTACAATGAGACAGTGACGCCCATAGAATTGAACTTATGCCCTCGAAGAGAAGCGTCTGTAGTGTTATTTGATAGTGGACAAGATAGTATCCTATGCGAAGGGGGAAAAGAAGTGAGCGAGCAAAGGTAGTGAGATGAGCTTAGATGTTTGATTCTAGATTCAGTCGCGTCTGCCCTACTCAAACATAGTACTCTCGCTAATTTAACGTGTCCATACAGTCATGATAGTGTGGATGGTATTCCACAATCGCCACTCATTACGTGCATCTAGCTAATCTCAACGTTTATGTGGGTAATTCTGGGACAATTGAGCGCACTTCCGAAGGCTTTCCTGATTCGTGTGTCGTGATAGTGTCGTAGCAGAAGACTACTGTCCAATTACAATCAACTTATCAGCAATTGTGATGCCTGATGCTCAGTAAAAAAGGAAGTCAGCAAAATTCAGTTATTAGTCATACAGAAGTCAATAAAGTAAAGTGGTTGAATTCCGATTGACGGAATGTCGGTTATTATTGAATTCGGTAGTCAGATGAGAGTCAGATAAAGCCGTACAGAAGTCAGAAACATCCAGTCCTTTGAGCATTAATTAGTCAAGCAATAGTCAACTTCTCGAAATTCCAGTCATATAAAATCCCATCATATGTCATGCAATAGTCAACTTTAATTCAATTAAATTTACATTTTAGTAGCAAATCTCAAGCAGTAGTCATCCATTAGTCAATCAGAAATCATACATTAGTCAGTCAGAAGTCGTACGTGAGTATCAGAATTAGATAGCTGACTCTTTTTTACTGGGCATAACATGTGGTCGTGAACTACATGGAGTGTGACCACTTGTGCTAACATATAACATTACCCCGTGAACACTTAATCCAAATACCACAGTATTCTTATATCCTTCTTATGTAAAAAAAATGATTTCTTGAGATCATGGTGCCTTGTCTGGCCTATGCCGGTGTATGATTCATATAATGACATGCACTTGTCTCTGATGGGAAGAGAACAGCTTTCCTTTGTTTGGAATAGAATTATATACCCGTCTCAGAAATTCCGTTATATTCTGCTCATTGCTTGTGAAAAGATCAAGGGAGTGAAGTACTACTGTTAGCTGAGGAGTTACAAGTCATTAGGACTGCATTCAAACTGGCCTTGATGCTAAGAAATTCTGAAAACACCCGTATATTCAAACCAAACCACATTATACACATATTTCCGAAGCTAAACCGTTGAAAAGGACATTACACACATCTGATCGAAACTGAACCGTGACGAGGATATTGACTACTGAAAGTTCTTAGAGAATACCGAGAATACCGCCGAGAAGACCACCGAGACCGAGAGTAGCGAAGATCAGCGTGAATCCAAGGCCGTTCAAGATCACTCCGACGTCAATCAATCTGTGATGGATAAACATCCTTAGATTATCTTGAGTCGATGACCAGAACGTTGGGACTTACAAGACAGCAACGAGCTTGACAACACCAGCGAGCAGGATATCCAAACCAAGAAGAATCTTGTTGAGTGCCGCATCAATACCAAATTTGATGAACAGAGGCGCAAAGTGGGGCTTGTGCTTCTTGAAGTTGTTCAGGCTGACCGCGATGTTCTGCGAAACAAATTAGTTAGTTGTAGTGCGAGTATTGATCGACACATAAGTATGTACGTTGTAGACGGGAGCGACTGCGTTAGCGACATCCTGCTTCGATCCACCAGAGTTAGTGTTAACCTTGCCTTGAAGGTTGGTGAACGAGGTCGATGCGGTACCGAGGGCGGCGGAAAGCTGGGAGAGAAGAGCCGAAGCATCATCCTCAGTAGCAGAGTCGTCGGTGGAGAGCGCATCTAAAAAATGATTAGAACAGAATATTAAGGATGTATGGCTAAAACGTACCAATCTGGGGAAGGATGGAGCCGGTGCTTCCCTGGAGGGTACTGACGACAGCAAGGATATCGGAAACGTCTTCACGTTTCTCGACGGTGACAGCAGCGGGGATGGCTGCGGCGGAGATGACGCCGAGAGTGAGGAAAGAGAACAAAATGCGAGAAGCGATCATATTGAATGCGGTTAGATTGGTGAGAGAGGTTTGAAAGTCGAGAGGAGCTGCTAGTGTTGCTGCTTGACCGATAGACCTGTTTTCATCTCCCTTTTATACGTCTAGAGGCCAGTATTATTCGTCAAATCGTGAGTAGTTCTTGCGTCTTCATCCTAAATTTCTCGTCACTATCCAATGACGTTCATTTGGCAATTTCACCAACGTGTGGGAGAATAAATTGGTCACTTGGCAGTGTTGAATAGCACAAAGGAGGCATCGAAATGCCCGACGGTGGTAGTAGAACCTCGAGACTCGCCATTGATGCATATTCTGAGGACATATCAATTATTTAATAAGAAGAAGCACAGGTGTACGTTGAGCCTGCAGCGTTGCAAAGTAAAAAATAGATCGCTGATGTCATGAGAAAATTGAAAATGATACCAGGATTGGGCTGGGACTTGTTTATGACTCATTTAATATCGTTCGATTATGATAGCTGAAGCAGAACTTATGTCGCGGTTTTGTTTCAAAAATTATTTCGATAATATATTAAGAGTATTCAGAGGCACGCACTTGCTTTACAGCGTTTTCAACTGCAAGTGGAGGAAAATGGCGAATATCCGGCTCCGGAGCACGTTATGCATGATTTTGACATCGAAGCCGTAAATGACAATGACGAAAGCACTATTTTGACAGCTGCTCCAATAGTGATTGATCTGCCGGTCTCGAGTAGGAACAAGGCAGTGATTCTACGAACGTGAATGAGCGGAACCGCCGTTAGGTAGGATGAAAATTGACTGAAAGGAGAAAGATCTGCACTATGACTTCATCATAAAGTTGAACATGACACGAGGATTTGGCTAGCGCCTTACGTCTTTATGAGTCATTTAATATCCTCCGATCATGATAACCGGAGAAAGACTTATCTTGATGTTTTCTTCCTCTCTTATTTCTGCTCCAGATCACCGTTCAGCCATATTCACGCACTCACCTGCCCAAGAAGCTGTCAGTCAACCCGTCATCGAAAAAGCGCAGAAGGAACAATCCACACTAAAGGGGGCAGAGGATTGTCACAGAGATCTGGGACATTGATATCTAGTGGAATGCCGAGGACTACCAACAAGGGTACCTATTTAAGTTCTCAATTGAAGAGGTACCAGTTTCCGACGCATTGGGTGCATTTGTGGTGGCTTAAACTGGAAGACGCAGCGCCGGTGGTGGATGGATATATATTTATGTATTAGTAACTGTTACACTGAATTAAAAAGAACTAACGAACTCGCTTTGTGCACTGATGAGTGTAGCAGTTGAAACCTAAAGTTCAATCATGTAATTGCACAGTGCAAAAGAAGTTCAACGTAACCATTTCTCTTTCAGATATAAATGAAAGTGAAAACCAACAATAGTCAACGACACCAGCAGTATTTGAACCTGACCTCAAAGAGGAACAGATGGAACCAAGTAGACAAACATAGAAATCCTCATCTGTTGCCGTAACCACTTGGCTATAGTGCCGATAACCCTACCAAGGGCATGCGAACCCACATCCATCTCTCTCTGTCGTCTGAGAGAGAGAGAATAAGAAAAGTAGGGCAGAAAGGGAGGAAGGAGGACGATTGAGAGAGGGTCGAAGGTAGAATGATATCGCCAAATGAATGGATGGTAAGATGTTGGGACGATGGCGTCCTCGCGATGAGGAAGGTAGTCAAGAAGGTCTAGCATGGATGCGTGTATAACCCGTTTGTCGATATCGCCGCATGAATGGATGGTGGGATGGTGAGACGGTGGCGTATCAAGTGGCAAGTTGACTTCCGATGAGTGACGAAGTCTATGCATGGATGGCTAAGGGAAGGTTGTGGGACAAGAGGCGTCAGATCCCCCGATCTTGGACGTGGTCTCCAACATTGATGATGGATGATCGGTCTTTCCCGAAGTCCGGCAATCATCAGCATCTTCACACGGCTTACTTCGGCATCATCCCAATCTTCTCGCAAAAGACGCTCGATTTGCTTGCATCGTAGAAGTAGTAATAATAACCAACAGCTTGTGAATCTGTATAAGAATATTCTATACCATGTATACATGCTCCGGCTGCAATTTTATTGTCTTATAAATAACTCTAAAAACAGTGAATAGCATATTACCATGATGTTTCAATTCAAAACCAAATGAGTCAATGATGACGATAATAACATTCAACACCTGAGTTCAACTAGAGATATTGTTACCAGAGTGTTGTATGGGTTCTTGCCTTCTTCCAATAGAAAAGGGGATAGGTAAACCCAACTGAGAAGGTTGGCCAATGCACTGCCTTCAGGGAGAGTCACCATGACCATCACAGGTTGTTGAAGTCAAGTGGGATCACCATTCATCAAACATTATCTGTTGTAGAATTGTGTTCATGCCAATGGGATTGTCTGGAACTCCTATTTTTGCCTCTTCCTCAAAATCTATCTTGATTTTTACTCAAAAATTCGAAGCTAGTTCTCCAGGAATTGAAGTCCAGGAAGGATGTTGTTGGTTCAGATGGTGTAACATGTTGTACTTCCAATGTACTTCAATACAAAATTGGCACTGGATAGGGACATTTGTTGAAGGTTTGCCCTGGGATATCTTAGCAGCAGCTGAGATCTTAAATTTGTACCATTTTCTGCAGGTTGAAATTGTCAGGCATGTCAACACAATCTACTAAGAAAGTGCCGAGGTCGATACGCAAACTATCAACTTAAGAGAAAGAGAAG